TAGTGGGTTTGATTGCTGCCTCTAAGACTGGCAAGGAGAGTGCTGCAGGAACTACAGAAAGGAACAAAAATAAATAAGGGTTGACGGGGAAAAATGCAATAGGGACTGGAGACACAAACAAATGGAAAATATATTTTATTTTATGAAGGCATCTCTCATTCCAGGCCAACTCCTCTTCCTATTGCACATTAGTGGAGAAACTAGTGTTCTTGTCTGCTTGGGCAAATACAATACTTGTGGTCAGGGTAAGAAAAAATCTTGGGGCTTTCTAGCAATAAAGGACTGATATGAGCAGGTGGCTTTCTTGTTCGAATGGGACAACGCTCAGCCTTCTGTACTCAGGGGAGTGATGTGTACCTGTGAATGCATTTATCCATGTATGCATTGGTGCTAAAAGCTTAAAATGGACGAGAAAGTAACAGGAATGTTGAAAATTACACATTTAGATAAACAAATTAAACATGCCATAAAATAAACTGTGACTCCTTGAGACTTTTTTAATTCTACTCATTAAATAAGTCATTTTGTTGAGAGGTAGATAGTCTTGTCTTTTTTTGAATGAAAGACTGAACGATGCAATATAACACATTTCAGTGTTTAGATTTTACATTGTCTGTGTTTGGTCTCTATTAGATCAACCATGGTGTTTTCAATGTATTATTCTAAAGATATTTAAAAGAAAAAAAAAAAAAACAAGAGAAAAAGAGGGTGGTTTAATTTTTTTTTTCAGTGTCTGTATATACAGTTGTGTTGAAAATAAAATTACAGTAGTCCCCGATAACCAGCTGGATAAATCACTGTTTTTGTTACACTTTAATCTTCTACACTGCTGGTAAGATTCCAGAAGGTTTATTAAAGGTAGGAAACCAACAGACCCAACAGGAATGATGTGCACGTTACTGATTCTGTAAAACTGTACCATTTACAGAAGGGTCAGTTAGTGAGGCCATTAACGGTGTGACAAAAAATAGGTGTGAAACGGAAAAAATTATTTAAGGATGAAGGCAACTGACACTGCATATGCTGTCTGTGAATTTATCCCTCAAACACAGAGTGAAACTGTTCTTTTTAAGAAAATTATTCTTTTTAAGAAAATTAATAAAAGAGGGGAAAGTGTTTCAGCTGTTCAGCTCAAATGTTATCAGCAGCCAAAGCCAGAAAGGTGAGGAAGGAAAAGAAAACTATTGGAATGGATTGAAGAATAAACAAGATAGCAATGGCTCTGGCAACAATCAGCTCCAGGAGGATAAAAAAGATCTAAGGTTGTCTGTATGTACTATAACAGTCAGATGTGATGCCAAGCTACCTGCAAAAAGGCCTGGCAAAGTCCCATGTAAAACAAAAGTACTGAAGCATTTAAAATTGACTATGTTTATATGGACACATATAATCAGACTGACAGCTTGATCAGATCAAATATGTTTCATGTAAACATTTGAGACTGAATATTATAATCTGATTTGGTTTGATTGGAAAGAAATTTAATCATGATTTAGAAGGGTAGGGTTTTTTCTGATCGGCATTCCAACTAGCGTCCATGTACACACCCATTAGGAACTTTAGAGTAAAATCCATCTCCTTTGCACATGTGTGGAACATCAGCTTGACATTTTTCTTCTTTCTACCACTCATTCACTGGCTACTGGTCCTCCTTTGTGGAGAAGGTGGCTCTAAATTCAATGCTGCTGAACCTGCCATCCTGCCCTCTACCCCTGTACCAAAGGAGCGTTAGCATGAGGTACTGCTGAGCCCTGAAAAAAAATGACCACCAAAAACAAAAGTAGACAGTTATGTGCAGGTTTCGAAAGATTTATTTTGATTGAAAGCTTGTTACATGTGCACGCGTCATGATTGTATCAATTTATATAGTGTCCATCTAAACGGAGATTTGATCGAGAGATTAGAGAAGTTTTGCACATGGAAACGTGGCTATTAATTGGCCTAAAAAGCAATGACGTAATATTTGTGTAGTGATGAGAGTACCATTGTATCTTTTGGGGTCTAAGAGGCACAGAAAGTTTGTCAGATGTCCTGCAAACACTGAATCCAAGCCACAGTAGACAATAAAGAGGGTGATGCATTGGTGGTGCAAGCTAATGATATGGGGATGTTTCTATTTATCAAAAACCAAGGATCATGGATCAGTTTGAGTACATCAAAATACTGGAAGAAGTCATAAAGAGTAAATGCTCTGTTCACACTAGCAAGCGAACAAAATCATCTAGAGAGGGACAGAATTTAAGTAAGGGAGCAGCCAGCACAATCCCCAGACCATATTCCCATTGAAAACTTGTGTGCTGACAATGATATTCAAAAAGCAAAAACAAGAAATGCAAAGGAATTGTGAAACATTGTGGAATTGTCATGCACTGCAATACCTTTTTCATTTTTTCAATGTATTGATTTGAAATAGAATGTGCAGTGTTCCCAATTAATTTGTGCTCATTGAAATACAATTCCTTTAAATAACTTTGAGGGTAACTCATCTTTTAAACACACGGATATTATTATGAGCATAACTGTACATATAAACAATGCAGTAAAGGATTCATGTATGCATACAAGTATAAACACAACAGCTTTCCTTCACAGTTCTCTGTAGCAGGTCTGCATCCAGAGACCTGAGGCAGGGGGAACAACTGATATTTCAGTATTACAACCTAAATTACACAATCAAGATCACAAAAGAGAGTTTTCAGAGCCAATCTGTAAATAATCTAAGCTGGTCGAGCCAGAGTCCAGACTTTAATATGCCTGAATGTCTGTAGAGATTCAAAAATGCACAGACATCTGCCATCCAGCCAGATGGAGTTGGAGATGTTCTGCCCAAATATTATCATAGTCATTTATAGACGTAACATGAAGGTGGAGTATTTAAAATATGTGCCTTTATTTACACTAGAACCTCAACCTGGACACAGCTCAAGCAGTTCTTTCCATTTTGTTTACTGCCACTGGCAGTCAGGACCTAATGAAACAGGAATCATGTCGCGGCAAGCATAGACGTTTGCCAGCTGACCCAAATTAGACCAGATGACAAGCTTTGGAGCAAACATAAGACCACATCTGAAAAATAAACTGGTAAAGTGGGTTGGAACTTGAATTGTCTTTCTTACCAACTGGCTTAAGGACAAAAAGTAGCCTGGGTTGTGTACGGTATGTTTTAATTGGAGTAAATCCAATAAATCCAGGAAATGTTGAACAGCAAATGTTAAGCTCTGAAAGGAAATGCTGTGTGCACAGTTCTACAGTCATAGAGCTTTTGCCAGTTTTAGAAATAGAACTTTCACTTCTGTTAAAAGCAAAGGTTAAACTTTTCATGACAGTGTTGAATGGTTTGCTGTATAGGTTTTTCATTTTGTCTATAAATGGCTTACAATTAGAAATTGTAACAACCACTAATAATCATTATTAAATAGCCTCTTCTAATGGGACAATATTAGAGATAAGAAACATTAATATAGTATTAAGTAGTGAGTGTAGAGGTCGCACAACAATTTATACTACTCTGATAGTCTAAACCCTAAAAATGATCAGAGAAGAAGATGGATAATTGCAAAAAAAGAAAAAAAGAAAAGAAAAGAACAGAATTCAGGGCAAGCAGTTTAATATCAATATTCACTGAAACCCCTGAAGCTTGAAGGGTGAATCCAAAATGCTTTAGTATTGAATTTTGTGGGAACAACAGTCCATCTCTGTCATATCCTCTTTTGGAAGCAGATATCATTTCAATATCTTGTAATTTCAAGGAACGCATATCATGCCCAACTAGATTAAAGTCTCAAGCCACAAAGAAACAAATACAAATACAACTTCTGTGTTAGGAAATCCAGATTTTAACTTATGTTTACCTTTACTAATATACATCAAGGATACTTAAATAAAATAACAAATATGTAACTTTAGAACTCTGTTCAAGTACTTCTTCAAAATTAGGCTCACGTTATATTAGGTACAAATAGTGTGCTGCTTAAACATTTTCGGATGTTCTCCTGAGCTGTACACTCATTATTTTTCTCTTGTATTGGGCAGACCGACTTTTCTGTTTGAGATATATTTGGAAACAGACTCTTTTCCCTATCTAGGTATTTCCTGACAGAAATTGGCAGTGCTGTATTTTATTTACCTAGGTAAAGGGTGAGATTACAGCTGCATGCATATTTTTAAATAAATAAAAGAGAGAATCTTTTACCCACCATCTTTCTAATCTGCTCTATTTTTGGACCAGTATGCTGGGGAAATAATATTTTGCAAAACAAAAATAAATGTACAACTGGCTTGTATTTAAGTTTAAGAAATGTTAACCAAAATGAGAATCTGCTGTAAAAACAGGTAAATATAGATTATGGCTAGAAGCCGTGGCCAAAAACGTACATTATAATGTGTTTCTTCATTTTAGTCAATGCATTTACAGCTGAACAGAGACATTTGCATTTCTAATCAGTTTTCTGCTACAGTTGAGCATTTTGTGTTTTGTCTCCAGCAACGTGTTTATAAAGCTGTCAGTTGATGACAGACATGGACGTTGGGCATAGAGTTAGAATTCAACTCTTTAAGAGAACGCTGCTGTGCACCACAGCTGTTAGGCTGAAGATCCTTTGCTAACATTACCAGCCTCCACTAGGAGGAAAACAGTAATGAGAGTAGTTTACATGCATGCTATTAAAATAAAACTGATTGTATAAGTATTTATTACGAGTGTGCAATCTCAGCAAAATTATAACTTCATTAATATTTATATGGACATAAAAAAAAGGCCTTAGAAACGTTGCCCAGAGAACCCACAAGAGAATCCTGTGCAAACTTGTGACCATCGGGTTTCTGAAACTCAGAATATCTTAGCAGTATCTGCTATAAAAACAAAACGCATAATACTATATAAAACCTAGAAATTCAGTCAGTGAAAAACTTCATAAGCACTGTCTATCCCCATTATAGATATTGGGTTAATACAGGTAAAAAAACACGTATAGGAATTATAATCTTGCGGTGGAAGTTAC